GCATGGGGGGTGGGGAGGGTGGAGAGCTGGGCTAGTGATCTGTGATCACAGCCAGGTTGTGATCACCTATGCCCTGCAGAGGGAGAGTGTGGCACAGAGAGGTTCGGTGACTTGCCCGGGTCACACAGCTCATGCAGGGGTGAAGGGAGACTGACCTCAGGCGGTCCCCCTCCTGAGTACACTCTCTGAACCAAGTAAGAACATTCCAGACCATAGGAAGACAGAGACACGGGACAGGCCCCTGTGTGAATCTGCTCTAGAAGCAGTCTTCGAGCTGCAGCAGGAGTGACCCAGACTTTGGCCGGGCGACAGGCGTCCAGGGGCCAGGGCTGACCTTGCAGCTGCCCTCCTGAGGGGCTGGGCTCTTGTGCTCGGCCCCCCCGGGCTCACTTGGCACATGCTGTTCCCCGGCCTGGAATGGTCTCCCTGCTTTTGGGGAGCTCCCACCCCCCACCCCACCGAGCTGCTTCCCCAGAAGGAAGCCTGCTGACTGCCCTGCTGGTATCAGACCCTGATGACACACACTGCCCGTGGCCGGCCCAGCACCTTTCAAAACGATGGTCACAGACATTTTTGATTATTGTCCGGAGTTCCTGCCAGGGAGTAAGGCCCCAGTAGCCCCTTGGCACTGGGTGCTCGGTAAGCACCTCGAATGAATGAATGAATGAATGAGTGAATGAGCTGCCAGTTCCCCGTCGCCCCGCTTTCCACGAGATGTGGCTGAAAGGAAGAGAGGAGGCGAGATCTGGGCTGTGGGCCTGGGACGGGGGACGCGTGGGGTCTGGACACTGCAGCCCTTGCCCGGTCCTGCGGACAGTGCCCGCCGACTCCTCCTCCTGAGTCATGCCGGGGACCTTGCGTGGGCCCGAGGGCCCTTCTGGATGCTACGGCACAAAGCACGTGCAGCGACGACACACCCTTAGAGACGGGGAACGCCGCTCAGAACTGCGAACCGGGAGCACGCCACCTACAAACGTCGCTTTGAAACAGCAGTTTTAAACGACCTGCAGAATGGCAGAAAGCTCATGCGGTCGGGCATCTGGCCAGGGTCTGGCGTCCAGAATATATAAAGAGCTCCTACGACTCGACGATAGAAAGACAAATAATCCATCATCGGCCGGGAGAGAAATGCACCTCCTGGCTATAACGAGGATCAAAACCGGAAAAGACGAGGGTCGGTGAGGGTGAGACGTGGCGGGGACCCTCGCGCGTCACTGGGGGTGTAAGGCGGCACTGTGGACACTGTCCGGCAGTTCCTCGAAAAGCTGAACACAGAAGTTTTTAGACTTGCGTGTGGCCAGAGAAGTGTCAAGTCGGCTGGCAAGTCCCGTCCTGGGGACACACCCCAAAGAATCGAGGGCGGGGACCCTAAGAAGCGCACGTGCTATTGGCTCTGGAAAGGAATGAGGTGCCGACATGTGCCACGGCGCGGCTGAGCCTCCAAACCTTCCGCCCAGGAAGGAGCCGGTCGCGAAAGGCTACACCTCGTGGGGTTCACATGCGACGTCCAGAGTAGGCAAATCCACAGAGGTGGAGCCGAGGTTGCCAGAAGCTGGGGGGCGAGGGGCCGGGGAGTGCCTGCTGGCAGGGATGGGGTTTCAGTTTGGGGTGACGCCAGTGGTTTGGAAGCAGAGACGACGTTGCGAATGCACTGAATGTCAATGGCTTCTTCACTTAAAATGGTTAAGTTTGTTTCACCTCATTGAAACATACATAATGAGAAAGATGCTACACGTACATAATGTGCACACAGATGCACACACATAGTCTTCCCAAGCCGTGCTCTTTAAAGACATCCTGTTACTCTTAAAACTCTAGGGGTACACGGAGCTTTCCCCTCTTTCCTCCACAGCCTCTAGCGTGCTGCAGACCCACCGTCCTGTCTGGCACCTGTGTCCCCACCCGGGTGTAAGCTCAGGACAGCAGGAACTTCACTGCGTCTGGGACCCGCCCAGCACCCCGACACCCCAACACCCCAGGGCCTGCACTTCAGGAAGGGCACGACGGCTGGCTCACCCCCACAGCAGGATGTCACTCAGCTTTAAAAAGGGGGTAACTTCTGGTGCATGTGAGGGCCTGGTGCTGAGTGAAATGAGCCAGACACGGAAGGACAAACACGGTGTGTCCCACGCACACGGGGTCCCCAGAGGAGTCAGAGTCACAGAGACAGGAAGTGGGTGACGGGGCCGGGTGGACAGAGTGGCAGCTGGGAAGATGCAAAGTCCTGGAGATGGTAGTGGCTGGCAATGGCTGTGCCTAATGCCACCGAGCTCTGCGCTGAGAACGGTGAGGGTGGGAAATTCTGTGTTATCTCTATTTTACTGCAGTAAAAATTTTTTAAATTATAAATTCCAGACATACGTGCACATATGTGCATAGACACAGACACACGCATGCATGCACACGCACATGCACGCATACACAATGCACGCACAGATACATCCACACGCGCACACACGCACGCACACATGCACACGCACATGCACGCACACGCACACACACACATGCAGGCGCCCCAGCAGCCGGCAGCCCTGGGTGCTAAGGGCGGGAAACGCAGGCCGGGCCAGGGGGCAGCCATCAAAGGTCTGAGGCAGACACGGGGACAGGCCTTCAGGACCAACACTAAGCCCTTGTTCGCAGGCCAGGACACGGGGTCCCAGAAGAGGAAGGCTGTCACTCTAGGTCACGGGAGCCGCAGGTAGCTGGGCACGGCGAGAAGTGCTGCTCCCTATGGTCAGAGCCCAGAGCCACCAATCGCCACCAGTGTGTGAGGACCGTGGCTGCCCAGGCCTCAGACGGGAAGGAGGGGGTGTGCCCGGTCCTGGTGCCCGGGGCCCCGTAGTCACGTGGGTGGGCCTCAGCTGGGAGGAGCTGGCCCGGGGGGCGCACGGTGTGTGCGTGTGTGCATGAGCTTCCCCCAAATTTGGTGTCCCCTGGAGAGCGTGCCCTGTGGAGGGGACAGCACCGGCGGAGGCCGGCAAGGTATGCAGGGCCTCCTTGTGACAGGAGGGGTCCGGAGTCTTTTCCTATCACGATTTTCTGTCCCCGAACGGCACCTAGCGGCCCACGGCCTTTCTCCGGCCGCCTGCCACCCCGTCCTCTGTTACACCAACGAGATACTCTGATGAAACAACTGGAAGCTCTTGGTGACCCGTCCCTGCTCCCAGCGGCCGCCCCTGCATTCGAAGTCTGGGATTCGAAGCTGATCCCCATGGCTCGGGCTGGCGACGACCGGCAGGCTGTCCCCTCCTCAACCCACTTCCTGTTGCCCTTTGGGCCGACCCCCTGCCTGGGGCCTTCCCTCTTACCGGTGACACCTTCGTGGCGGAGCCTGGGGTCGGGGGCCCTTCTTCCCTTGGCAGCGACGGGCCGTTGGACTCCATGTCCTTCCCTGCAAGACAGCAGCGGGGGTGAGGACCGGGCCACGGCGCGGCTTCTCTGGCTGTCTGTGCGCGTGTGGCAGGAGGCCTGGGTAGGGCAGGAAGCCAGTCGGAGGCGGTGGTGGCTGCAGGACACCGCCCAAGACATCTCATCAACACCAGGCAGCGTCACCATCACCACTGAGGGGAACCCAGGAGCTCGGGCCCAGCCTCCACCACAGGCAGGGAGAAGCTGGGGCACCTTGGGCACGGGCGTTGAGTACCCTTAGGGGTTCTGTAAAGCCAGGCCCCCCAGTTTTCAAATGAAGCATGCAGCCTCCAGTCTCGAGGGTTTCAGGGCGACCAGACCGTGTTCGGCCCCCTCCTACATCCCAAATCCTCTTCCAGGATCCCACTGGCCGTGGGAGCCACACACCAAGGGGAGGGGGTGGACACTGTGCCTGCTCCCGCCCTGGCAGGTGTGGGCTTCCGTCCAGCTCAGCTGAGAAGTGGGGGCGCTCCGTTTGTTATAAGGCGGGTCCCCAAAGCTGGGGCTGTGGGCAGGAGGAAGAGGGGATGGTCTCAGAGGCCCGAGGCCACCGGTGGCCTCTCCCATCCGCTTCCTGCGGCTGGTGGTGTGTCCCCAGGTTCCCACACTGAGACACAGCGGTGGGAGCTGCTGGGGGAGTGGGGAGATGGGCACCCACAGAACCGGCCCAGGCAGGGTCACCCATCTCCCTGGAGCTGTGAGAAGGGGCTGGGGGGAGCAGGCTGGGGGGCTGGGGGCCGAGAGCCGAGCTCAGTGGAGGAGACAGGATGGCGAGCAGAGGAAGTAACACCACGCCAGGCACAGTGTGCGGTGGC